TTTGGGAAGGTGAATTGAGTTTTGAGGAGAGTACAGAAACTTGAGAAGTAAGGTCAGATACTAAAGAAGATAGAGATTCAACTCTGTTCTGCAGTAACTCAATTTCCTTAGCTTGGGAAGCTAAACGACAGGAAGGGCAAAAGAAAGGATCTGTGGATGAACAGATGGCTTTGAACGCTGGAACAGAGAGACCAGCACATCCCCGGTGCATCCAGCCACAATTAGAATTCTCACACTCAATAGCATCATCACCATCTATACCTCGTTTACGATCTTTCTCTTCAATAGCACCTTCACAAATAAAGCAAAGACACTGCAATTGACCCTTCTTCTTAGATTTAGACATCAAGTTCTATAACAGCACAGAGAGAAACAACTGCAACAGGTTAGAACTAACCACAATTGGTGGCCGGTAACAAACAAAAGTAACCGGCAAGATCACAAAGGAGGATTATTTAGTGCTGCTCTACCGTAGGCTGAGCAAAGGACAACACGTGGACAGTGGAATAGTAACCGGGGGCTGCAGGAAAGTGGGAAAGAATATTTAGTGAACATAGAATGGTACAACCTGTGTTAGTGGCCGGTTAGAATGACTAAACCGGCAAGAGGGCTAACAGGAGAAGGCTAGATTAGAGAGCCTTGAAACAGGTGGCCATCTTCAAACCACGCCCAGTCATGTCTAATGGCAGCAAAGAAGACCATGTGAGAAAGAAGCTTAACTTTTTCTTTACTAATCAGCAATATACGATAAACTTGCTGACAGAAAGTTGTTGCTTTCATGTATTTGAGACAGTATAGGTACTTTAGTACCTATAGCCCACTAGGCTGTCGCCCCAGCGCTTCACAAACAAGAACCAGGACAACTGTAACTCTTCACCAAGTAAGATTTAGAGAAATCTGTTCATATCTTTTGAAGGCCATGTTCTTATCTACTGGAAAATGCTACCAGCTATCTCTAGAGTGCCAGCACAACGGAACTTGACTCAAATACTCGATTTTCTCACTTTGAAGCTTCTTGTACCTAGCGCTGATATTTGAGCAACACAAAACAGCTCAGCAAGACTTTTCCAGGCAAAAAAGAAAGATCTAAGAGCTTAAAACACGCCATGCTAAAGTTATAAGGCCTTTTCACACTGGCCAAAGTAATGCGCATTGATGCGCATTAATCGTGTTCACACTAGAGTGGTTTTCAATTAATGCGCATTGATGCGCATCAGTCTCACTTCACCTCCAGAGGTGGATTGATGTGAAGTGATGCGCTTCGATCAATGTAAACCAATGGCAACAAGAACACAAAATGATACATAATTCAGCTGCTAGTGTGAACACGATCAATGCGCATTATTTCAGCTGTATCAACAAAGCGCATCAAAGCGCTTGAAAACTGTGCCAGTGTGAAAAGGCCTATAGTTTATTAAAGACAAAATTCGCTTGTACAGAATGAATGAATGACAGACACACACAACAACTACCTATACCTCGCGTAGGCGAGGCCAACAACAATAACAACAACAAGGACAAGGACATCACAAGTAACACAAACAACAACAGAGGTGGGACCAACAACAACGTCAACAATAACAAGGACAACAATACAAACAAGAATATTGACAACAACAATAGTAACGGCAACAAATGCACCAACAGTGACCACAACAATAAGAATAACAGTAACAGCAACACCTGCAACAAGTGATGGTGATGATAGTGGTATTAAATGCTTTCCTCCAAATGCAGTAGTGCGTACAAGAAATGGTCCATTGCTCATGAAAGACGTTGAAATTGGAATGGAAGTTTTAGCTGTGAGTTCTAACCATAAACTAGTCTATAGTCCAGTTATATTGATATTAGATGTTGATGATATTAAACTAGCAAATTATACTATCATAGAGTCATCAGGTAATCACAAGCTGACACTCACACCAAACCACCTTGTTCATGCAAGTAAAACAAATGACATCTCATCATCTGTACCTATATTCGCTTCACAAGTCAAAAAAGGTGACGTGATATTTGTTGCTAAATCTCCTGATGTTATTGAAGCAGTTGAAGTCGTTAGCACATCTAGCAAAGTCATCAAGGGTGCTTATGCCCCACTGACAAGAGAAGGTACTGTGGTTGTTAATGATGTTGTAGCTTCTTGCTATACTGTTGTTAATGATCATCAATTTGCTCATGCAGCATTTGGCCCCATTACGTATCT